TGTTAAAGGGGAGAAGAAGTGAAGAAGATAAAAAATATGCATGATGAAATGGCAATAAATAAAAAATATGAATGATAAAATGGCAATTGAATCTAAAAAACAAAATAAATAAACAAGGAGAACAGAAACAGACTCAGAGATACAGAGAACATTTTGATGGTTGCCAGATAGGAGTGGGTTAGGTGAAAAGGTGAAGGGATTAAGAAATACAAATAGGCAGTAACAGAATAGTCATAGGGATGTAAAGCACAGCATAGGGAACACAGTCAAAAATCCTATATAATGAAAGGCTAATTAGATTGAATGGCAGAACCACCAAACAATCAGTCGCTATGACGTGCGCTGACCAGGAGGGGATGCAAGTGGAACATGGTGGGCATTGGCAGCAGAGCATGGAACATGATGGGCAGTGGGATGGTGGAGCAGGTGAGTGGGGGCGCCAGTCCAGGGCGGGGCACTGTCATGGTCATTGGGGTGAGCCTCTGGTGGTTACTGAAAATTCTTTGCTCCCACACACCACGGTCCACCCAGTGCTCCCACCTGCTGCTGGCGACAGCCCTGATCACCCCTAAGGGCTTTTCCACTTCCTCCTGCTCCTGAGGGGCGATTGGGGCTGGCAGCCACCATTCGCTCGCACCCGCTGCTGGTGTCAGCCCAGTTACTCTGTGCCATCAACGGATGCGAGCAAGGCTAGCGCTGACAGCTCATGGTAGTGGCAGTGAGAGTGGGGCTGCCAGCAGACAGAAGACTGGGGGCCACAGCAGGAGGGGCCGGGTGAGAGAACAGAGGATGGGCCAAGACCTGCCCCTGTGCCCACCACAGCCTCTCTGCCCACAGTTTCTTCAAGGTGCACAAATTCACTGGACCCCTAGTATTATGATAACTATGTATGGTGTCAAATGGGTACGAGATATATTGGATGATCACTTGGTAAGTTATATAATGTCTAATCACTGCAGTATATACCTGAAATTAACATCATATTGTATGTCAACTGTAATTGAACAAAAAATAAAACTGCACTTATCTAGAAAAGAATTCCATAGCATATTAGCTTTTATAATAAAGACTGAAATACAAATAAAACCTTTAAAATTAAATTTTAATTGCTATCATCCAATTGGTTTATGCAATGAAAACCAACTGCAACTAGCCTTAGTTCCAATTTTCTCCAATTTCCTGCTGATGGGTGAACCTAGCTCTGGTTCAAACATAGACTGAAATAAGAACTAAGATTAAAAATAAAACATAATTTTCAGAAGAACACAATATCCACCTCAGTGCTAAAATATGAATTCCAACAACAGTATTCTTCAGTGGGAAGTGGTATCAGATCAACAGCAAAAATGTTGTACCTTGGTCTCCCCTTCCTGTTTTTAATGAATTTGTTTTCCTGATATCCAAGTTCCTGCTTGGGACTGGAGCCCAGCCCTGAATCTTAGTGTGGAAATTTAGCACTACCAACTGTGATAAGATTATACATTAGGCATTGTTCTAAGTGCCAAATACAACTGACAAAAATCTCTTCTCTTATAAGGAGGCCGACTACCTGACACAAATGACTAGTATTTGTCCTCCAAATTCTTTATTTTGGAACATCCTGACAATTTCTGGTGTGTCCTGGTAACCAATTTCTGCAATGTGACCAGGTCATGAAACCCCAAAGCACAGTTCCTTATTTACTTAGCTGAACCCTTGCCACCAGCCGGCCTAAGCTGCTCTATTAATTAAACAGACAAGTGCCAAGTTCTGTCTCTCTTCATGTGATTTGCTCTGCTGTGAATTATGGGAGAAGTGCTATCTTTGGAAAGATTGCTGTAAGCTGAGATTGAAGTGCTGCTGTGGTGATCTATACGGTAGACACTAGTCCCTGGGGCTATTCAACACTTGAAATGTGGCTGATTGGTCATAGGTGCTTTAAGTGTAATACATATATTGTATTTCAAAGAATCAGTACAAAGAAAAAAAAAGATTAAATGCTGAATAACATACATTTCTTAAATAAAATATATTAAGTTTAGCTATTTCTTCTCACCTTTTAAAATGTGGTTATTAGATAATTTAAAATTGCACGTCATTTGCATTATATTTCTACTGAAATGTGCTAATTTAGAACATTTAACTAATGACATAACAAGAGACATTATTTTGAGAGGTTTGTTGTGTCTAGAAATCATTAGAAAAATATTTAAAAATGAAATTCTTTTGCAGAAAAACTGCCAGCTAATAAATGCTGAAGGAATGTTAGACTACCACCAATCTGCTATCCCCATTGGAGCAACTGATTCAGAGGAGCATCATCAAAGAATGCTAAGACTAGTGGCAAATAGTCGAAGAGGAGAGTCATCCAGTGGCAAGATTACACCCTATAGATTATTTATAAACTGTAACAAGACCTGGTGATCACTACTTTTAACAAATGATCAAACTTAGCATACAAATAATGCTACAACCTGCCAGTATACACCTCTGGCAGATTGTAGTAAATTGAGGTAAACATTACTTAAAAAGCATTTTGCCCCAATGTTTTATTGTGAAAATTTTCAAACATACAGCACAATATTAGAATTCATGGCAAAAATCTGTACTCATACCATCTAGTATTTTACAACACAGTGCGTACTAACTTTATCACATTTATCATCTTCCTATCCATTTGACTTTGATGCATTTCAAAGTAAATTGCAGACATTAACGCATGTCCTCCCTAAATAATCTATGAAGTATTCTTGCCAAAAATGTTTAACCTAATCTAATCAAGCCTCTAATCCTAAATTCCAATTTATAGGAAATACTTAGAGGGATTAATTCATTGACAATAAGAGAAAACTAAAAATCCAGAATACAAAACATTATAATATTAAATGATTTAAAAAGTTTGTCATGAAAAGATAGAGTGACTAGATTTTAAGAGTCTTAAAAAACATAACAAATTCCAACTTATCAACCTAAATCAGATACTATTCAATTTTTAAAAAGCTACCAAAGACATTCTTATAACATTTAGAGAAATGTAAATATGGATTGGATATTAGATGATATTAAGGACTTATTGTTGGGGAGCATAAGAAACTTGGTTGGAAAGTTGTAAGGAGGATATTCTGAGAAAAGGGAATTGTGTGAAAGGCACCTGCCCTGTTTATCGGAAATCCGACTTAGGGGAGACTTGGGGAGTGTGGAAGGCAGCATCCCTCATTATTCCCTTACCTTTCCAAACGAGTCTGAGCATGAGGTGTTTACTGGAGTCTTTATGCTTAATCCCTGGATGTCCTTGCCTAGAGGACAATGTAAACACACGTGTCCTCCCAAGATTACTCACCCTACTGATTGTATCTAAAGATAAAAATTCCAATAAAAGCCTAAAGAGGTATGCAATCGAGGCTGCCTGGCTTCTTCCGCTGGGCTGTCCCTTAGCCCTCTCCCCCACAGTCAAACTGTGTCAGAGTAGTCTGTTCATCTGTCGTTCAGGGGCTGCTGATCAGCCCCAGCAAATTATTATTAATTTTCTTAGATGTGATCATAGGAACTGTGTTATATAAGCAATTACATTTTTTTTTATTTTGGAGATGAATGCTAAAGAGTGTGTATGCATGCACACATACATATATGTAAGTTTTTAGTTAATTTATTTTATAGGAATAAAGCAAATGTAGCAAAATGTTAATAATTACTGTATCTAAGAAGAGGGTGAACAGATATTCACTGTGTTCATCTTTCAACTTTTCTGTACATTGAAACATTTCAAAATAGAAACTGGGTGTCAGGTAGATAAAAAATTCAGTGCAGAGAGGTTAATATGGTCTCTTCTGTTTTGGCCTGCCTGAGCTTTTCAGGTCAAGAATGTGATCTCTGAAAAATATCTTACCACAGCCACAGAAAAATAAGTCTCTTTAACATTCTTTATTTCTGCCTCAGGACCAATGCTATTATTAGGTAAGAGTCTTCGATATGCAATATTACAACTGGTAATTCAGTCTGTAAGCAAAGGCTTTAATGTTGTAATATTACAGAAGACAATTCAATCACAAGGTCAACTTGAAGATTGGGCTCACTGCCATCAGTCTGTGTAGTCTGAGACAGTCTGTCATACAACTTTAGGTTTTACTTCATATACCACTTGTTTTTTTTTTTAAATTAAAGATGTATTTTCCTTTTTTAAAAAAATATATTTTATTGATTTTGTACAGAGAGGAAGGGAGAGAGAGAGGGAAAGAGAGAGAGAGAGAGAGTTAGAAACATTGATGAAAGAGCGTCATCTATCAGCTGCCTCTTGCACACCCGCTACTGGGGATATGCCCACAACCAAGGTACATGCCCTTGACCGGAATCGAACCCGGGACCCCTCAGTCCCCAAGCCGACGCTCTATCCATTGAGCCAAACTGGTCTCGGCCATATACCACTTGTTAAGAGTATCCTGTACTAGAATTTGCCTATCCCTGGCAACCTCAGACACAAAGGTTTCTGTGATCTTTTTCCTTAAAATTTTATTCTACTTTCCAACCTATTGCTGCTCCCAAAGTCATCTGGACAGCTTCCCCCTAAGTCCAAAGACACACTTACCACCCAGGTAATTAGAATTAAAAATAGAAAACCACTAGCAGAGATCATTGGATAAGGAATAGCATGGAGTAAGTGAAAGTATGTTGATACTACTAAAACAAGATTAAAAAAAACACACAAAAAACTAGACATGGAATCTTATGTGTACCTATAGTTGAGCAAAAGAAAATAGCCCACTGACAACCATGACTTTTCCTTCAAACTCTGGTTAGAAATATCAAAAAAACTGGAAACAAACCTTAGATGATAATAGACACTAAATTAAAAATTGGTACAATAGGGCTTAGGTTTTGCAGTTAAGAGTGTTCTTTGGGTTAAAAGTAAAACAGTAAAGTCTGAAACTACCATGGTGAATACAAGGCAGCACATGGATTCAATAAAGCAATTAATTACATATGTCTCATTTCATATACAATGAGAAAAAGGAAATTATATTTACCAGGGTTTGTCTTCTCAAGTTGATACCATCGGTAAAATGCCCTTTTCTTCTGCTCACTCAGGTCTGATCCCTGCTGCAACAGCCAGTGAGAGATCCGGCTCTGACTGATGCCTATGTAGAAAGAGAAACAGCTGTTGCAAGTAATGAAGTAGCAGGGAACTTAAGGGGGGTTCTCTTGGTTCTATTAATAGGTTTTTTTATTCTCTTTTTTATAAGAAAGCTGCAACTTGAACAACTCTTATATTGGGCTTCTTGGTAAAAGCTGGCTAAATGTGTAGGGTATACTCAGAATTACCTACTATAGGTCAGCATTTTATTAACCAAGATTTGAAAGTGGTCTCTAAAATTAATCTCTTAACCTGGTCGATAAATATGAGATTCTGAGATTCCTAAGTAATAGTTATTTATCAGAAATTGATTAGATTTGTGCTCCTCCAACCACCACCACCTCCACCCCAATCCTGGTTTAGAATATTAGAACTTTTAATAGATATTGAGAAGAAAAAAAAAAAAAATCAAGCTAGAAAGTTTTGCTACTAATTACTGATATTGATAAAAGAGTTAGGGGCTGGGAAAAAAGAGGTAATTGAAAATACTCTCTTCAATAAAGTTTCTGGCTTATTTGTTAATTCATTTAGGCATTTCAGATTCGTTACCATTAGTACAGATAACTAAGAATTGGAAGACTTCTAGACTTCTGCTGCAATATGACCTCTTAAGAAATCTCAAGTGATAAAGACAGTCTTCAAACACAGACTTTTCAAAAAACTGAACAGAATATAAAGCAGTAGTTTTCAGCTATAAGTAAGAAGCTCTTGACAGCAATTAATTAGAAATGGGGAAAACTTCCACATGTGAAAGTAAAAAGCATGCCTAAAACTGACTTGTATGAGAATCACTTGCTCCTTCTGCACATTATAGCTATTCCAAAAATGAATAATTTAACATACATCTGGCAAAGCAAAGAATAATAGGAAAGATGAAACTGTCTTAGATGTCCATAAGGCACTTTCTAAAGGACCAGTCAGCTATCAGAGAGGGTTAACAGTATCGTAACTCTCCCAAGGAATTACTTATGGTAACTGGATAGTACTGAATACCACCTGTGACAACCTGTTTAAAGCTATAATGCACAACAGGAAGAGTGGTTATCATGAAGTAATCACACACCCTAACATGAGAAGAAAGTGATTATATTGAACTCATTAAAAGCAAGCCCCTAGAGCACATGTGTCAAACACAAGGCCCACGGGCCAAATCCGTCCCGCCAGGCCTTGCAATGTGGCCCGCACCTCGCTGTCATCACTGCACTCCGCTGCGTTTCCATCACAATGACAGTTTATGACTGTTCAGTAAACCATTCGACCCACGATTTAGGCTGGATTTTAGATTTTGGCCCCTTCTCTGATTGAGTTCGACACCCCTACCCTAGAGTTTCATACTTAAAAAAAAAAACAAAAAAAACAAAAACAAAACAAAACTATGTTAGAAGAAAACTTACGGATATGGGGGAGGGAAGTTTTGTTAAAAGACAAGTTGGGCTGTGAAGCAAGGTTCTCTGATTGGAACCACCTTTCATTTCAAAAGGGTGAAATTCAGTTTCCCAAAACCTAGGTGATTACATTCTCAAATAATTTACACAACGGTTTTCCAATGGATTGACGATCTATGTGAAGCAGGTGCTGGCAGCTAGCACTCCATGCTTGTTCAAAGAATGCAAATTATTTAACGTTGGCTGTCTTTAGCAATGCCTTTATCACAAATCCAGGTTCAGATATTACGTTATTTTTAAACAAGAGTGAAGAAAACAGTTTTCCACCAGGCAATCAAAACTGATTTTCATGTCAACAAAATAAAACCTTTTTATGTGGATTCTTCACATCAGTACCATACTACTCAAAACAAAGAGAATTTGAGGAAAAATTTTAAAGAAAAAATAGACTATATCAGTTCTGTTACTTTCAGTATTGGATCTCTCTCAGTCAGATGGTACAGAACAAACACTGAGCCCACTAGATTTTAGTGCTGTCCAGGTAGTAAAGGAAAAGGGCAAAAGCCCATCAAAAGATTAGTTAAATTATGGTATACTCACATGATAAAAGACTGGGCAGACTTTTAAAAGTAATGATCTACATCAGTCACCAAAACAAACAATAACCAAGAAACAAAACAAACAACCCCCCCAAAAAAACAACAAAAACAAACAAACAAACAACAACAATAACCCATCAATACCAAGTTTTGGCAAGGACACAGAGTATATGGAACTCTCTTACTGCTGGCAGGAGGGCAAAATGTCAGGATCATTTGGGAAACAATGAGGCAGTATCTACTAAAGTTGAACATATGCATACCATATGACTAGCAGTTTCTTTTTTTCCTCAACCGGGTGTATTTTTTTCATTGATTTTATTTTTTTAGAGAGTGTAAGGGAGGGGGAGAGACAGAGAGAGACATTAACTGGTTGCCTCCTCCATGTGCCCCAACCAGGGCCAGGGGTCAAGCCTGCAACTGAGGGATGTACCTCTGACTTAAATTGAACTTGCAACCCTTCAGGCAGTGGACTGATGCTCTAATCACTGAAGAAACCAGCTAGGGTTTTTTCCTCTTTTTTAAAATTGATTTTAGATTTGTTTCTTCCTGCACACATCCCAACTGGGGACTGAACCCAAAATTTGGGTATGTGCCCTGACCAGGAATCAAACTCACCACCTTTTGAGGTATGGGATGATGATCCAACCAACTGAGCCATACTGGCTAGGGCAACCTAGCAGTTTCTTTCCTCAGTATATAGCACACAGAAATGTGTACATGCTCAATAGCAATGTGTTCAAAAGACACGTACAAAAAGGCTCAAAGTTCCCCAATTTGAACCAACTCAAAGAGCCATCAAAAGGAAAATGCATAATTGTGGTACTTATGCATTCTACTATAGACTACATGGATAAATTCCACAAAAACAATGTCATCCAAAACCATCAGACACACATAAAAAAGCTAGACACAGCTATATGATTCAACTTATATAAAACTAAGAGACACAATCTCTATATATATAAAACTCTAATATGCAAATAGACTGAACAGGGGAATCAAACAACCAAACAACTGGTTGCTATGACATGTGCTGACCATCAGCGGGCGTGCACAGAACATGGTAGGTGTCAGCCGCAGCAAGATGGTGGAACAGGTGAGCTGGAGCACCAGTCTAAGGCAGGGTGCTGGTCTCTGTCACAGGGGCAAGCCTCTGGTGGTTACTGAAAATTCTTTGCTCCAGCACTCACAACTGCTGCCAGTGCTGGTCCCATAGCCGTTGCTCGCACGCACCTGCTGCCAGTGCCTGGCACCGGTCCGATAGTTCAGTGTCATCATCGGGAGTGAGTAGCAGCTGCCGGCCCCAATTACCTCCGAGGGCTGCTCCTGAGGGGTGATCAGGGCTGCAGCTGCTGCTCACACCTGCTGCTGGCACCAGCCCTAATCACTCCATGCTATTAGTGGGTGGGAGGGGGGCTAGCACCATCAGTGTGTGAGAGCAGCGGTGGCGGGAGTGGGGCTGCCAGCAGATAGGGGACCAGGGATTGGGGGTGCCTCGGTGGGAGGGACCAGGCAAGAGCATGAAGAATGGGCTGAGACCAGCCCCTGTGCCTACCGCAGCCTCGAAGCCCACAGTTCCTTTCAAGGTGCATGAATTCATGCACTGGGCCCCTAGTTATCCAAATAAATGGCTACCTATAACTAGGAGGAAGCAGGTTCATTACTGGGACATAGTGTGAGGAAAACTTATATAGTGATCAGCACTATTCTTGATCTGGATCTGGATGGTGGTAATATGCATGTCTTCACTTTATAAAAGTCACTAAGCTAGACACTTTTCTCTGTATATATTTCAATTTAAACAGGATTCCCAACAAAAGATTTTAAAATTCTATGCAGTATTTAGAAAATAAAGTGAATATGTATCAAGACGCCCATGATATAAATAAAAAAGTATATAGTTTTATAAATATATCTATATTTACATAATATTCTTTCTGTCTTGTACAGTAATGAAAACTTATATATATATAGCCAAAAATAGAGTGGTACACTTCCTACACGGTAAACCTCTATATTGCGTTTTTTTTGTTTTTCTTTTTAAATATACTTTTATTGATTTTTTACAGAGAGGAAGAGAGAGGGATAGAGAGTTAGAAACATCGGTGAGAGAGGATCATCAATCAGGTGCCTCTTGCACACCCCCTACTGGGGATGTACCCGCAACCAAGGTATATGCCCTTGACTGGAATCGAACCTAGGACCTTTCAGTCTGCAGGCTGATGCTCTATCCACTGAGCCAAACTGGTTTCGGCTCTATAGTGCATTTTTAATCATTCTACAAATTTGTATTAATTATTTTATATTTAGGCTTCCCTTACAAACCAGCTCACTTTAGTGGTTATTTTATAAATACTGCAATTAAGTTAAACAACAAAGCACCAAAAAAAAAGTTAATTTCAGCCTTTCCTCAGCAGTTCCACTCTGAGGTAAACAATGTTATCTGTTAATATATGTTGCTGCATGATTTTCCCTGTGCATAATTATTAATTTAATAAAACAAATGAAGAGAAAGTAATAAAGAATATCCCTCTGTCTAGTCTTTTGTGTGTGAGGAAATAAAAAAGAACTTCACTGTAAATGTAACCTGTTCTCATATAATAAATACAGAAAATGAAGTAATAAAGCAGGTAGTTTTTCTAGTAGTGTTATAAAAATTAAATATGTACAACATATTTTTCCAATTATTTTTCTTGGTTAGCAGCTTACTGATAGGTCAGGTTCTCTAACTCATCCTTTTGGGGCTCCTCTGTGCCTTTGGAACGTGGGGTGAGCTTGGTGTCAAAAAAGGCCTTGCAGCTTCTCTTTACGATCAGTTTCTGTGTTTCTCCTTAGGAAAAATGTTTCCCAAACTCTCCTCTTACTTCCCACTCCTGAAAAAAATATTCTCCTTAAGTTTTAACTCCTCACAAAGCCTCTTTTCTAACCTTTCACAAGCAGAAGAAAAATTTACATATAACCTTTATACACTGAGACTGAAACTAACCTCTGATTAATTTATTTCCAATAAGAAATTG